TGCTCATCCTTCCTTAGTTTCATAATTTAAGGTGTTGGGTTTTAAATATAAGGTAGCTGTAGTAATTTTTAATTTTCTGCTCTTTAATTTTTGGGGGTTTTTAATCTTCTAATAACTTAGATTTTTTTTTTTTCCCTCCAAATTCCCTTACACTTTTTCTTTTTTGCAGTTCTTTTCTGTAAAACTTTGTAGGTGAACCAGATGGGCTTTTGGGGGGATGTTTTTGTTTTAAGTCTAAACTTGTACTTACTAAATCCCATTCTAGGTTTCCAATGCTTAGCATTTGAATTTGCCTGAAAAAAAAAAAAAAAACCACAAGAAATAGCTACTTTGGCTTTTGTGATGTTACCCTACCTTTCTCAAGACAAAAATGGTGGCTACACCTACCTACAGTCTAAGTGAATGGAAGCAGTAATGATCTTCAGAAAATGGGATTTTCTAGACATAGAACTACAGGGTGCCCTGGCAGAAACAGATGTACAAGAACTGATACTGGAGTGCAAACTGCCTGATTTACAGTCTGATTTTTTTATTATTATTACTCTTTTGAAACCAGTTCAACTTTATCAGTTAAAGATGTGACTGGCATCAGGAAGGAGAAAATAAATATGCAGGTCACTTCAGTATTGAATGTGTCAATATTTATTACAAAGCTTCCTTTGCAGACCTGTCTGAATACACCTGGTTCAAAATTTTGCCCTTTTTTAAATAAACTGGTCTATGAGTGTAGATGGAGATTTTTCAAGAAGCACAGTGGGTAATTCAGGCAGTCCTGTAAGCACCAGAAATTTGAGGAGGTATAATTCTAGTTCTCCAGATAAACAGAAATCAGCATGCTTGTAATATAGGAAACCTCCTGTGATTCATTTAAAACTGGTTTTTGTTTAGCCACCACTCCCTACTGACGATGCAGTCAGCCCTGTTTCCAAAATCATTACCAGCACCACTCCCAACTGCGAGTGCACGCATCTGTGCTCACAGCCAGATGCACGGAAGCAACTGTGCCCAGACTTCCCACCCTGGAGACCATGTAGCATGTCCTGACAGCAGAGGGGTGTCACTTGTTATGGGATATCCCTTGCCATGTGATGGAGGCAGCTGTACAACTGAAATACTGACAACCAGTGCTGAAGGTCCCAAGTCCTGGATTCACTGTGCACGAGTAGGTGAACCGTGCTGTGTGCGCACGCAGGGGATCCCTCCCTGCTCCCGGGATCAGGGGGAGGCCGTGGCAACTGAGAAGCCATTCATGTTGACTGCTCTGAGCCACAATATATGTATTTATATAATATGCATTTGTAAATGTCTTCACAAATTTATAATACTGACAAATACAATTTCTCCAACTAGTCTAAATGGTGGGAAAATTCCTTATTACACAAATCTGTCTGAAATTAACACACTCCTCTTAAGTCTGGGGACTCTGCACCTCATCTCACATCTAAATTGAAAGCTTATTACATGGTCTATTCTCTGTTATTTATATTTTTCTCTTTTTAAATTATTTTAACTTTGGAAAGCTTTTGTGGGACAGCTTGTATGTAAAAGAGCCGAAAGCTTCCAGATGACATTTGAGTGTGATGTGTCACAGGCCAGGCCCACCCATGGCCCTTGACTTCACATACATTCCTCATATGCTGAGCTGTGACCAGATCAAGGAGAGGGTGGTTTTGTCTCATTTTGTTTTATCTTGAGGTGGCTCTGCTAGTCCTTGAGCACAGCTAAGTATTTGTGACACAGCCAATCCTTCTTTCAGGATATATTGTATTTGTAATGTAAACCTTTGTGTCTTCAGTTACATATATATGCCAGCTAGTGACCCCTTTGTCAATACATCTGATAATCCTGAATTGCTTGAGGTGAAAATTGAGAAGATATGAAAAGTAGTAACACAGTGCTAAAAAGTATTTCTTTTTAGGATTCATTGAACAGTCTTTTTTGTTGTTCCCTCCAACATGTAGAGCTTCTAATGTGTTTATTGGATACCTAAAACTTTTTAGAAGCACCTACAGACAAGTATTAGGAAATTCTCATCTGCCAAAGTTTGAAAATCTATCCTGTGTGCAGTGAGTTCCTGATCAAAGGGTCCTACCCAGTCTATATCCATTACAATTAAACTGGATCTCAAAATAGCAATGTGTTGCTGAAAAGTGTTTTCAGAGATTAACAGTGACACAGACTGCGTCTTTCTCTGAAAGCCTGATTTTACATAAAAGCTCTCAATCAAGTTGAATGAAGAGTTCATGCTTGCAGTTAAGAGGTCAAACTTAGAGTTGTTTCTTTTCTTTTAATTACATGCAATGCAAGGTAAAAGTAGCATTACTTATTATTTTCATTTAAAGTATTAACTGATTGAGGTCCTTGAATCTTTCTAGCATCTGTTCATCCTAAGAGAACAATTAAAGAATAAACATTAGTTGGCAACAAGGTCCTGATGCAAGATGTGTTGTGAGAAGAAAGTCCTAGTAATGTACCTGAAGCAAGGGCTGTCAACACTGGGTCACGGTAGCATCTGTTTCCTAGATACTGTTAGGGCTGCTGCTCTGATAAGTTCCTCCCACAATGAATCTCTTGGAGTATTGTTTTAAGTAAAGAAAAGTATTTGCGAGTCAGACAAAAAGTATTTGAGAACTAGTCAGTCACACGTTAAGGTCATAAATGCCCTTCTGTGTTCCGCTTTCCTCATCGCTCTGGAATGGCCTTTGGGCTTGGGCTGATAGCTTCTTGCTATAGGCTGCTCCAGGCCTCTCATCTTTGCTACTGTCTCTCAAAAATCACAGGTCAGACATGGCTCTTGGGCTACAACTGACAAGTATTACAATAGTATCAGCAGGACCTCAAGACATCTCAGCCTCTAGCTAACCAGACAGACCAGTTTCTGCAGCTTGTTCCACTTCATGGGTTAAAGGGGATTCCACTTGAACTGGAAATCATCCACACGATGCCTTCCTACACTTACCACTACACAGTGCACTGGTTATCTGCTTAGTCTCACTGGCTTGATACAAGTTAAGTTGTCTGGAAGTAACAAACTTAATTATTCTAGCAACTCCTACAACAGCTACATAACTCTAAAATTTGAAAAAAAAAAAATCACACAAATACATATTAGATACTCCCTAATTTACCACAATTTGTAATTAGAAAATGAAATGGCTCCAGAAAAAGAATGAGGGGCAGAGATCTTTAGGAAATCTGATTATACAAAAATGGAAGTTTTTTTATTTCAGCCCATCTGAACGGGAAGAATAACTGATCACACCAGTAGCAGAACATGTGATTGTCTCTAATATAAATGTGGCGGGTTTTAATGAAAATATGTATTTAAATGCTCTTTTAAACTATAGCCTTATTCAGTGCACATGGAACAACAGTGATAGTCTAATCAATTCACCTAAATATGAGCAAAGGAAAAGCAAACTGGTTTGGATACCTGTAGTTATAAATTTTGGGGTGGGCTTTACTTGTTTGGGTCCTGGTTTTTTTGAGACGAAAGTGACAATATAAGGTGTTTAACTTTTACCATTACTTAATTTCAAAATAAACCCATAATTTTGCTATTACAAAGATATATTAATGTCAGAGATGAGCAATAAGCAATATTCAGATCTAAATCTACAGTTAGATTTTTTTTTTTTTTTTTGGGGTTCTATCGCTAACAATAGATACGGGAAGAAAAATAATTGATGCTTAGAATAATTTCTAATTAAAGTTTGGCAAGCCTTTTTGACAAGGACATAGACCACTTGCAAGCAAGCATTCTCCCCAAACTAGAACTAAACCATTTAGATCTCCTCTTATTCTTTTCATTCCTCATAACTTTTCATTTATAGACACTGCCAGGTGCCAGCTGGGGCACAAGAAAGAAACAGTAAACTGCCAAAGATGGCTATTTGTGATGCTTCAAGCATAACCAGAAGCTGAATCTATTGGCGGGGGGGGCTGTAACACCAACTCCACAGCAAAGCAGAACTTGAGATACTTTAAATCTGCAAATCTGGGATCAGTATCTGGTTAGTTTAGATAATAATCCAAGCTATTCTCATAGATGTAATGCATTGTTGCAGGAAATCTTGTGCCTCTTGTTTCTCACTTCTGTGTTTTTTGTTTGGTTTTTTTTTAATATATATATTAGCAGCTAGCACTATCCTTTTGCAGTAAATTAACAGTATGACTTTTGATCAAAAGTTAAAGATCTACTTGTGAATTATTTGTCAGTTATTCCTGATGCTTTTTTTTTTCCTGAGTTCAGAACCAGAAAAGAATACGTTGAATTGTTTAAGTAAAATCAGGTAAAAATTTAGGCTCTAGGAATACTCAAGTATCAGACCCATGACCTAGCCTGTAAGCAGGCTAGTCCATGTTGTTGCATTGCAGGGATGCTAAAAATTCTTTAGTTCCAGCTGACCTAATGGAAGGATCAGATATTTCTGTTCTGTTAATTAACATTGTTAAAACTAAAATTCTGAATGTACTTGCTGAGTGAAAAACTAGACTCAGAGTCACAGATAATCTGATGCTTTCTCAGATGGCCTGGGCCCAGGAATGTATCATTTTTCCCCCCCCTTCCTATTATAACTGCAAACACTATGGAATGAGGTAAACTGTCCACTAATAAAATGACTCGTGTAAGGTCAGAAATCAGAGGGTATTCCCATTATAGCCATGGAGTGTTGTAAAGTCACTTCTGAAGAAAATGTTAACTATTAATTTAGTCAATGGTGTTCCTTCCTGATGCACATACACATAAATTGTTTAAATTGCGCTTTGTTGTAATAAAGAGAAGGATAACACAAATTGTGCTAAAGAGTTCTGTTAAAAAGGTAGGGAAAATTCATACACAAATGATTATCAACTATACTACTGATTGTATGTACATTAAGCAGTTTTGGTGTGTGAAATGTTACTGGAAATGCATTTCCTGTATTTTTCTTCATTTATATAAATGGATGTTCAACCACATGGTAATACTAATGCTGGCTTTGTTTAATACCTTACAGGAAGCTTCAAAAGATGGTGCATGACATCAAGAAAAATGAAAGTGGGATAATAAACAAGTTCAAAAAGTAAGTTTGAAATGCCAATCCTAGTTTTCTCAATCTGGGGAAATTCAGACTGCTAGCGCAATATATAGTACTTTAATGATGGGAGCATGTTATTCTAGAGGGATGTACTTGAGCGTATGTAAAGAGCCTCAGTCTGAACAGTGGCATGCAGAATTGTCATCAGTATTAAGAGTATCACAAAGTAGTTGCAGAACTGGCCTCCAACGGATGGTTGTGTTTGTAGCCCTGAAAAAACATATCTGGGTAAAATGCATTTTTCTTGCATATTCTTTGGGAATGATCGCTGCTACTTGTTCAAGTATGTGCCTTTCTCCTCAGGCCACTGTTTGGGCTACCTGATGCGATTAGTTTTAATTTGAGCTCCACCTTGAACCAACTAGTCAGACATCATAGTTTGAATTTCCACAAAAATGCGTAGTCCCGCAGTGTTTCAGTCCCATAAAACAAACTCCAGCATTACCTAACATCCTTATTCCAGTAAGAACTGCTAAAGAGCATGCATATTGATGTCACGTGTATACAAGTATCATAAAATATTCATACATGGAAAGAAATTCCAGTAACTCTGCATCCCGGTCAAATGAATACACCATTCACTGTTTCTAGCCAAACGACTATTTAAACCAATTAGCTATTTAGCACACTTTTTCTTTAATGCAATAGCTCATTTGCATTGAACTTCCATTTGGATGTGATTTTTCTCATTCAAATGTCTTTCATTATATGGGTCACTGGCATCAAAATTACAAAGTACTTCTTTTAAAAGAAGTTAATTAGTACATAGTATCTGCGGTGTTTCCAGGATGACCATATTAAATTCTAGAAATACAGCTCTCGTATGTAAAAGGCACATAAGAACAATTTTAAGCAATGTTTATGTGACCATGATGGCTCAGATCAAAGAAAAGAAAAAGTATAGTTTTAACAAGAGCTAATTTTAGGTATATACAAAGTGGTAAGTAGGCTGGTGGGAGAATGCCTGGTTTGGCTATGCAAGAGCTCTGGAAAGCTGGGCTGGCTACAGCTACTGGCCCTGCAGTCAGCCCAGGCAGGGCTGGTGCTTGTGGGGCAGCCGCTATGCTTGGCAGAGGAGTGGGATAAACCTCTAGGAACAGCAGAGACCACCTGGCTCACTCTTTCGCTGGGCAGGTTTAAGTTGCAGGCCATTCTTTGTGGCCCCTTCATCACAGCTGTGCTTCGGTCCCCCAGCCTTGAGCAGGCCCTGATGGCAACATCTGATATAGTAGAGAGACTCTCAAGATCACTTTTTTCCTTTATTTATCCTCTTTCTCTCTAGCACTGCTGCAATTGGCAGTAAATCATTCACATGGTAGATGTAGTGTTATTTACACACAAGCATTTTTGTTAACATGACTCTCTTTCTACTACTTGGATTTTTAACTTAATCCAAGTGTGTGTTTGTTTTTCACACTGTTTATGTAAACAGACCACTGTGTTCAGAGATCTGACTGCAAAAAACTGGGACCTGCTCAGAGGGAAGAGCTTTCAGGCTGTCAAGGCTTTTGGTAGGGTTTTGGAGGGGGCAGGGTTGAGGGGGATTGGGGTTTTGTTGATTTTTAATAAAAGGTGGCTGCCTGCTTCTCAGTATTAGGTTAAGTATAGTTAATAACGTTGCAAGTGGGTCCAGTTCAAATGCTTCAGAGGAAAGCAGAGGGCAGAAACAATAGAAGCATCTCAAGTTTATCATTCAGGGCAACAAATTGTCTCCCATATTTGCCTGGATATGAATTCTGCTGTTAAACAGTATTGCTCTGACAGTGTGTCCTTCCCCGAGAGTAAGAGGGGAAGGATAGACAAGGGAAAAATAAAAGAACTAAATGTAGCTGAAGCCAGGAAGGTCAGAGATGCCATCATTAAATGTCAGATACAAGATTGCTGCTGTAATGCTGCAATTCTTTGATTATCTCAAGATATAAAAAAATCTGCAAAGAAGAGCAGGCTCATAAAAACTCTCTTAATGTATGACTGCAGCACAAAGCTGGCATATCACCTCCCCCAGCTATAAGAATACAAACTGAAACGTAAAAAAAAAATCAGAAAGATTGGGGTGTTTTTTTATTTCTATGGTTCTTCTGAGTACTATTAATCACTTCTGCAATGATGAAGATCAGAAACTTATTGGTTGGTTTTTTTTAATTGAAGAAAAAAATTCTCAAATTTGCACACGACTTCAGAACTCACATCTTGAACCTAGTGCATAATGAGACTTTCAATAACAGCATGAGTTGACAAGACTGATAAGGGCATATGCAAGAGATGCCAAGCTTTGAAGAATTGGAACGGGCTGTATTCCTCTGAAAGTTACCCTTTGGGGGCTTTTTGTTTGATTTTTAGTAGATGCTTTTTCTAAAAAAAAAAAAAGAAATAATTAAAAAAAATACAGTTACCCAGTTGATCACTTCCTCCATTTCAGTTATAGGATTATTTAATTAAATATCAAGGATCTAAACATGACTGAAGGAGGAAAAAAGGTATTGCAAAAATAGCTTTATGTAGCATAGATTTAAAATTTGTCTGTATGTTGGAACAAACATCATTTTGGCTCAAATTTATACCTATTATAAGTAGAAATAATTTTAGAGAAGTCAAATAGTGCACTTGTTTATCCCAAGCCTAAAGTTGTCACACGTGTACTGTAAGCCTCTGCTACCAAAATTGAAGGAATGATCAAATAATCATGAAATACATTTGACTTATTACCAGTATGTGTTAAGACACTTCTAAAATTTTGGATGGGCTCTTGATTATGCAGGAAAGTACGAGAAGTTCTTGCATCAAGTGTCCTGCTCTCCAACCTAGTTCATCTGGGTGGTACAGCTGGGGTGGGGTATGTGTGTCTTAAGGGTCTGCAGAAAGCAGTCTGAACAGTGGTGCTAACAGGAAAGAAAACTACAGATCGTTTCTTCATTGCTTAAAAGTTTCTGTTGTGTACTCTCCCCCCCGACTCAAAATTTTCTGACAGTAAAAGTACTGCCTATTGCATTTGCCCACTTGCTTTCCCCTTCATCACATGCTAAACTATTTACAATACTGGAGTCCCAGCTGCTGTGCACATCATGATGTTGAAGAGGATTATGTCCTTAGGTGTAGAAGCAATAGGTACAGCTGAAGTTGTATAAACAATGAGAGCTAGGGGCATTTTTTCACACTCACACCCTTGGTGATACAGAACAGGGAAGTACAAGAGAAATCATAGGTTTCATGCTGTGGGATGGTTGCCTATGCTTGGAACGCACTGTAAAGACACAGCACTCATCTGTAAATCATGAGCTTTATGCCTCTAGGCTTTGTTCAGTGGCATCCTAGCTCCACTGCAGTCAATACTGAGTCATACCCGTATACAGCAAGGATTTCACCTTAAAGCTTTGGGTACGTGCTGACCTACTGTACCGAATAAGAAACTTAGAAGTTCAGGTTACTTGCTTTGCTGCATTATCACGTCCTCGCACAACCACTATTGCAAAGCTAGCAGAAATCAAGTCAAAGCAATCAGATGTCAAGTCTAACTGCACACAATCCAGTATGTCCATATGTTCATTTGCCATGTCACTGAAAAATGGAAAGATGATGCATGTTCATCTTATCTGCTTTACCCAGATTTTTAGTTGGGTAAGCTTTTTCTTTCAGTTTTGTCTAGTCCATTTTTCTATACTATTTGTAATTTAGGCAGTAACTTCAAGCAGAAAAATGGAGTTGCGTCACTATATGTCTCTTCCAGCTGCATAGCTGCAACTGTAAGACATCCATGATCAAACCCTTGGCAGAGGGAAGAGTGGTATTTTGGGGACTAAACAATGTGAGAAAAGTACTAAAATCAAGCTATACTCCACTTAGAAATCAGAAAAACCTTAATACATAATTTTAACTGTGTTCTGAAGAAACATTAATTTCAAAGTGTAGCTGATTAGGATATTTTGACTACCAGGATTTTTATTAATATAACAGTATTTCATCAAAGTGAAGATAAACAAATCACAGCTAGATGACATTTCACTGCCACAGCACATTGTAAAGAAAACGTGTGATGGAGTACAAATAACACTTTAAAAAAAAAAAATTATTTTGTACAATCATCAGACACTTCCAAAGCTATAACAGACTATTCCACTAGGTCATGAGAGTGCAGCTCAGGAAAAGTTATGTCAGCTGGATTGCACCTGTTAGGAATTCTGAAAAAGGTTTTGGCAAAATTCAATTAATTTATCTTAATCACATGTGTAATGAACTAGTGCACTTAGGACTAATACAGACTATAAATACTCAATAAGATGTCAATATAATTTTTGTTAATCCTATTAAGCCAAAATGGTTCCTAAGAAGAAAGTGGGCTGTGTACAGAGCTAACAACAGAGAAAGTGAAGGACTCTTGAAAAGAAAGCACTTTTAGCCGAAATCTTAAATGCTGGGGGAGTGAGCAGAAACACCAGTGAGGAAATACACGTAGCACTTAATTCTTAGAGATGCAAAGGGCTACTACTGTGTATGTCTGGTTACTTTTCTGGAGGCAGCCTGGAGGGGAAAAAAAGAAGTGTTGCTAGAGCAGAAAAAACACACCTCTGCTGCAGTTTATTTAAAAATTCTCCATATGGTACAGGAAAACACAAAATTGGGATATGAATTTTAAGTATTGTGAATTTCTGTACATTGCAGTGTGTTCTTGTGTGAACAGCATCTAGACCCCATTATGTCATTATGTGAAATGTCTCATGCTATGTGGTTATTTGTTGAAGGTAAAATGTGTACATTGCTTTTAAAAACCTGTAAACACACTCTCAAAAATGTACTTGGATTTTACTGAGTCCTTCAGAACTGAAATTCCTCAGAGATATTTCAAATTCTCCAGAAAGTGATTTATTTTCTATTAAACTTTAGAAAAAGGCCCATTAAATAAACAGAACACAGTTAAATAAGTTTCCATCACAGCTAACAGAGACACTTCACCACCTGTAACTGAAGTCCAGAGTAGCACTAGAATGTTTTACTTGAAATTGCATGTAATATAATTTTATATAACTCTGTTAAAAGATCTGTTAGGAAATCACTGTCTTCTGCTTAAATACGTATGCTTAGTTGGGTGGCATTTGATTCTTTCAGTCGCTTGCCATTGACTTCAGGGGAACGGGATGGAGTCAGCTGTCGCTCTGCAAGCATCTGTGTGTAACATCAGGGTCTGAAACATCTACGTAACCATTCCTTGGCATAGGGGTTATGTCTTTTGAGCTTGTTTGCATGTTGGGTAAATTCTGGCCCTTGCAAAGCGAAGGTCCCATTGACTTAAAAAGAGCGTGAATTTCAGTTCTGGCACTCAGTAAATCATACCAGTACAGAGAGAATTATTTTTTTACGTTGATTTGAATTTTAGAATAACATATTTGAAGAGATTCTGACAAATGTAGATGTGGCCATGAACCCTTTCAGCTCTGTGACAGAAACATAATTTCTTCTCTTCTGTTGATATTCAGGTTCCAAAATGAACAAGTGGCCTTAATTTGCAAAACTGGGAAAGATACTTGGGATCGGTATGCTATTTCAGAGCTGCACAATGGCATGATAGGCTGCTGAGACACAGACCTCTGTTCTGTGCTTCGTATGCTTTCATTACAACGTATTTACATTTCCTGCCAGGGCTACTGCCAGGATTTACATGGCCTGGGACATAATGTTGAAGCCTACTACTTAGCAGTTCAGAAACGTGTCACGTGGCTTAGGCCACGTACTTCGCACTGTGACCCAGACAGCCTCTTATTATTGCCTCAGTTCTCATGATCTCATGATAGATATACATGTTGCAAAGTACATTAATAGATTTTTGGTCTATCCTCCCAAAAACGTGAGATTTGCCCTGGCAGTGGCCCTGGGATTTTCCTTCTAACGTGCCTGTGCTAACCTGGACAGAAGACAACAGCAGGGCTGTTGAGAATGCTTTTTAATGTAGTTTTAAAACAGGAAGTTATCTTCATGCTACGGGCAGTTAAAGACTCAGAGGGGTCAGCTATCCATCATTAATGCTGTTCGTAATGAACTAAGGTTAATATTTCAAAATAATGTACCTAGATTATTTTTTTTAGATTTAGCAATGCTTGCACAATTCATTCATTGATTCATGCGTGTGGGTTGGGTTTGGTTTTTTTTTGGTACTATCTGAACAAAAGAATTCCCTGAATTCAACTCAAAAATAGCCAAAGCGTGTATCAAATCAGATGGGGGAAAAGTTTGTAAACTGATGTGTTTGTGCCAGTGTGCCACCACCTTCAGTTGGTACCTGAACACTGACACCTAAGCAGCATGATCAGCACCCAAGTACCGAATGTCAAATTCTCGTGGTAGAGCAAAATTTGTAGGCATCAGTATTCCTCAGAGAGTGCAAGAAAACATTTTAAATTCTTTGTGGAAAATTTTCTTTGCAAATAATTTGCTTATTTTTGTAAATGAATCTGTCAGGACTGGTTTGAAGAATGAGAGAAGCCATCAGTTCAGTGGACAAAAGTTTAGGTCAATGGTGAGGTCTCATCAGTGCTACAGGAAAGCTGTCAGACAATGTTCAAAAGTCATCTTAAAGAGTAATTTTAATGTAAATGTCTTAATGTTCTATATGACTTCAAAAAACAAAGGTGTGTTTTTTCTCTTTGAGATGCATCAGTCTGACTTCAGTCACACATGCACCAGTCATTTTAATTTTAAACCCAAATTCTTCTCTTTTTTTACAGGGTAATGAAATAATTGATACATCAACAAACTGTAATTCAGTGTCTTCTCTGCACAGCTGCAGTTTAGCAAACAGGAGTTTGCTAAATATATATATATGCTCACACATACATATGTATAGCCACAGAGATTCTTTCAGTATTTCTACACATTATCTTTTGATTCACTTGGTATTACAAATGCTATTATAACAGTATTTACCAAAAAAGGGGCATAACACCATAAAATAATAGTAAATGGAAACAGAATCTGGTTCTGAGACCTGATATACATTTAAACATTAATCAGAACATGAAGTGCATGCAAAATGATAGTTATAGAAATGCAAGTGGAGAGCACAGCACCACTTTCTTATGCTATACTCTTAGCAAAGTCTCTGTGAGCCTGAACAGATTTTTCATTTTCAGATAAATGCGTATTTGTCTGACTCCTATTTTACCTGTTTCTGCACTGGAAATGCAGAGGAGGGTGGTTGGGCAAGGAAGCAGTTCTTTCAAAATATGTTCTTAAGAAAAAAATAGATCTTAGATTAGAATCTAATTTCTTATCTGTTTCTAGCTTTTCAAAGCATTCTCCTGCAGCTATTTGCTAAGCATCTGTGACAGTGATCTGTATTTCTTCAGCTGCAGGTATCTTTTGTTATCAGCTTTATTATGTGTCTGACTAATGCTCCCTTCTAGTGAATGTTACTTACTAGATCATAAAAGTAATAATTATTGTTTACAGGCTGAAAAAAAAACCTCCACCGAGTCTACCACAAAGGGATTATGCTTCAGGTAAGGCTGTATTAATGGAAATTTAAACTGCATGTCTGTGTATATTTGATACCTATACGCCTAATCATATTTCAGCTATATGTTTCCTCATAATTTCTTTTTAATGAGAGAAGAAGATGCCATTATCAACAACTTTGAAGGTAGTTCACACCTCTGAAATGAGAGGCAAGCAAAGTATGGCAAGTTCTTCCACTATGAAAAAAAAGCAGCTATTCCTTCAAAATCAGTATTTACCAGGGTTCTGCATGTAGGCTGCTCTAAAGATGGAGAAGAATTTGCATCCAGTCCCTTTCTGCCAGAAACTGTGATGTAACAGTAAATAGGGAAAAAATTGAACAAACGTAACATCACAGAAGTCAGAATCTTAGTAGTATTAATGTGACAATGATGATGATATGGATTATCTTAGTAGTAGAACTGTATTTGCTCATCATACAGGACTGCCCACAAACTAGTTCATGCCCATTTTTACAAGTTAACAGCTGTCTTGTTAAGGAAACAATTATATGAAACCTGAAGAATCAGGACAGAATTTTGAAGTTATCAGGTAACTGTTCCATCTTTAACGTACACACTTGCAATTAGTATGCTGTCTTGGAGATTTAACTGAGAAACAAGAAAGTGCAAGGCCCAGAGGTCAGTGACAGATCCGTTATGTAGAAATTGTGACTCCTACTTAAAAATGAGATGCATTAGCAGGACATTTTGGATAAAGGGCACACTCTGCTGTTCAGACAGTGTGCAGTTTGCCATTTTCTAATGCTTTCCCAATAGGTCTGAAACAATTTATGAAAAACAAGCAAGCAGGCATTTAATTTACTATTCATTCCAAACCAAATGCATTGCTCTGAACTCTTCAGGAAATTTTTACTTTTCTTTTACTGAATATGATAGACTTTCTTAATTCTAGGTTAAAAAAAAATAATTATATTCACTATTACATTTCTTTAAATAACACTAATGTTTGGTTTAGAACATGCAGACAATGAAGAGGACCAATGGTCAGATGATTTTGTAAGTACATATTTCGGGTTAGTGGAAGGCTGTTGTGGCAATAAGTTCAGCACAAGCAATAAGTTTATTTTTGAATCATCTAATGAAATGTTATCTTGTTACATCAGCATTATTTACAAGTAGCCACTGATTTTTAGCTACCTCAATTTTTAACTTTTTGGATAAGTAAGTTCATGGCATCAATCTGAGTGACTTTTCAAAATGAACAGTCATTTCAAAATCCAGTAAGATTTTCTGTCTGGGGGGTGGGAGGATGAGGAAGGGAAAGCCACTTCTTCCTAAAAATGAAATATTTCTAGTAAGATTCTGGAGAACATTAGAATGAAGCAAGTCATGGTCATTGGCTGTGTAAGGTAATTGCCATGCTGTACAACCCTCAGCCCAAAGGGACTTAATGTCCTTCAGGAGTTAGCTCCTATGTACCCTTTTAATAGGAAATGGAGAGGCAGTGGCAGGACACATCAGGAGTCACAGCTGAACTAGGGTCCTGTGATGGGAACCAAGCTGTTGGTCCATAATTTGAAGAGCGAGCACTTGGTGTGAAAAGACTCCTTGGAGATAGCAGCAAGACAGGGAGCAGGAAGCTCCTGTGAGGAGCAGAAGGGGAGGCAAGCAGGAGTACCTGTTCATTTGGAGAAGTAGCACTTAAAAGGGAGTGTAATGTGTCCTGTCAAGGATACATTCTCATAATTTAGTTAACTGTACTCCTGCAAGGATATTTGTGTCACACACTGCTGTGAAGCCATAAATATATTATGAGATGAGACATAAGAAATTCTGTCATCCTAGGACAGTGACTATGAAAATCCAGATGACCACTCTGATTCTGAGATGTATGTGGTCCCCACTGAAGAGAATCCTGATGACAGCTATGAGCCGCCTCCAAGTGAGCAGGAGAAAAAGAAGATTCCTTCGGCATTCCCTATTTCTAGGGGTGAATACGCAGGTAGTTATGGAGTAGTTGACTATGTCAACTTGTTAATTGCTTATTTATCAGTACCAGAAGAGAAGTGGCCTCAAATGGACTAACCTGTCCTTTCTTCAAGAGTTTGCTTTTAATTCTGACAATTGGTCTTCAGCTTTCAGGGATATATATGATTTGTAATTACAGCAGGAAACGGTTAGCACTGCTGGTAATGTTTAGAATTTTAATATATTATGTCCTAGACATCTACTAAGTACAAGATTCAAACAAAGGTATGGGAGATACCATTAAATCCACTCCAGATTCATCTGCATATTGTAATGCAGTTCATTGAAACACGTAAGACTACACACGTCACTTCTTAATCTTTTCTTTATCTTAAATCATTATTCCAAAAGCAGGAGAATGGAGGAAAAGCCACCCAAATAGTCATGCCATATTGTCCTTCAAGATTGGTAATGAGAAGGATAAATATCCTGCAAAACAGGACAGCCTCATGATTTTATTTACAACCGTCCAGCATAATGGCGCTTTTTCTTCCTGTTTTGATTCTTTTCGACCATGGGCATATCACACTGAAGTGAATGAAAGTTAGCCTCAGTTAGATGAAGATTTAAGCCATGGGAAAAGAAACATTGGCATCATGCCTGCTTTCAGTTTTGTATGATAGAAGACTGTTACTGGTTATAGAATAATCATCAGAGATCTAAAATGCCACATATGTATTCATAGAAGTTTATCAGCACTTCACCTACATGTTCTTTGAAAAGGAGAGGAATTTTTAAAGTGACACCCAGATGACCTGGCATAATTTGTGTTTCAGTCCCACTCTTTTATGCTTTGTAACAATTTTTTCTCATATGTCACATGTTCTTTCTCACTTCCTATGTGAGAAAGTCAAAGTTCATACTGACACAGGACATGCTAACTGAAGGACTACACCACCCAGTCACCACCTTTTCCCCAAGGAGTTAAACAGCTGTTCATACAACAGTCAGTGGCTAAGCACCCTCTGCAGCCTGATACAGAGGACTAGGTTGCTGCCTTGGGCGATGAAACAGGACCAGTTTGCACACAAGTCCCACCATCAGGACCAGCATACACTCAGGTCTGCCTTTTGACCTGAGCTGCAGCCACAGTGAAGTCTTGTTTGCTCAGGTAGTAGAAGATGGTCCAGAGGCTGTGTAATTTTGACTAAAATTGTTGTTTTCTTCCATACTAAAAGACAATCGCACCAGTCACCAACTGCTTAACAAACCTCTCCCAAGTACGCCCAGTCCAGCCGTGTCCAGACCAAAGAAACTATCTGTGCCATCTCTGCCATTTCCATCTCCTGCTGCAAAACCAAAAGTACCACCGAAGCCTAAGGAGTGTAGTGATGATGAGGTAATGTTTATAGATACACTTGTTCTGACAGTTTAAACAACTGATGACCTGTACTGATGATAAGCCGGACTAAGCAGCAGTGCCATGGCCTTGGCCGTTTCTTAGCCTCTGTGGTATGAATCATTTTGTACATCACAAGCAGTGACGTGCGAGTACTGTGCTGATTCCCAGGGTGTATCTGCCTACTTCAAGCATTGAGGAGTTATGGATGAGCAGAAACTATAGTTTCTGCTCATCCATAACAAGCTGCAGGCAATGAGGAGAGAGCAACCTCAAAGGCTAACCCAGGACAAAGGGAACAGAGGGCTTTCATCCTCCTGTATAGAACTGGACTCATTTGGTAAGGGGTTTTCAGTGTTAGGGAATCCCATTCACCTAAGATGATAAATGTCTGAAATAGCAGTCACTGTGAAATGGCAACTATTGTAAAATGCTGCCAGGGCTTCAATCCCAACAGTTTGTTGATATAATGGAGGTTTAGCTGGTAGATTATTTTGTTGTTGTTGTTGTTCTGCATTTCTCATAGGATAACTACATTGTGCCAGTGGATAATGACGATAACTATATTGAGCCCACAGAAAGCAGCATGTCACTACCCACAAGATGTGAGTTTTAGTCATTTAAGCTAATAATTATTTCCTTGATATGAACAACAGTGGAAAAATGGATCAAATTCATTTACATTTCTAGTGTTCAAAGAGTGGAGGTGCAGCTATTAAGGAGAATACAGCCTGCAAAAAGGCAGTTGGCTCCTTTGGCCCATGACAAGGCCAAGAAAAATTATTTTTAACTTTATTGGAAGCCATGTTTGATTCCTGCCTCTTCCACTCAGCTGTTTAAGCCTAGCCCTTCTATAACCAGGAAGCTTTTCATGGTATGTGATCTCCCTCCTCATCCAAGGGAGCCACAGCATTACAATTCTGTTTGCTGAAGTGCCTTGGGAGAACAACGAGCCTTTTTAGATTTTCAGTAGATAAAGACACACTTTGATTCTTTCTTTTTTTTAACCTCGCTATTTGAAGTATATTTAGCTGGAGAGTGAAACTACTACAGTCCAAATGTGAAAAGTAAACAGAGAAGAGTATGTAGTTCTGCTGTCTGACATTACTGACAGTACCAAACTTACTCAGCAAGGCATGAACACTGAATAATGTTTCCCTTTTAAAAAGAGCTGCTGTCTGCCTCAGTTGATTTGTTCAAGGTCACACAAAAAGGCTGTCACTTGAACCTACTTAACAATCATGCAATAAGAATAAATATTACACTGTTAGTTTTCTTAATACGTGCGTGTATGTATAAAATGTGTCTATACACACATGCAAAAGTATACAGGTATATGAATAAAATATGTTTTTAGCTCCTGCGAACAGACTTATGAAGACTACTCCAAAGCCTTCTCTTGCTTCTGATATGCAAGGTATGTGGAAGGGTTTTTTAACTGGTAAAATAATTTAAGGCTGAGGAATATTAAATTATGCTTGATGTATTCACAACACAAACCATATGACATACTTCAGTAAAACAAAAATATGTTCCCCTTTAGGGTTTCCTATGTTATAGCAGTTGTTTTGCCTAGCTTGAATAATAAATCTGTTTTAAGCATGAATAAAACTAGAACAAGTCATTTGCCCCAAACTAATTTATTTTTAGTCTTTTGCGGTAGCAGAGGAATGCAAATGGATCAATACAGCAAAACCAATTATAGGATTTAGTATGTTACTAATCCCATTTCCCTATAGGAATCAAGACTCAATACTTCAAACATTAAAGACATTCCGTATTTGGAAAAAGATACAAAAGCAGAAACAAATAAGAGGAATCATATTTGCTTTTGCAAGTGCAGATATACTTGCTTAATCTTCCTTAGCTGTGCTAACTCATAGTTGTTTTGCATCCTTGTCATCTCATTAATTGCTTGGAATGTAACCTTTACAGACTGATCACACAGTTCTTTAAAAATCCTTTGCATATTCATTAGCAACTGTTTAACTTTCAAGTCGTAAACTACAAAAGTTTTGTTCTGAATGACTTAAGATTTTTGTGAGTTACTTTTCAGACATTTCACAAGTGCCCTTTTTAATCTTAGACTTCCTGTAAATCAGCGTGGAGCAACAGCCAGCTCCTGACAGGCGTTACTAAACCAAACCATCTCCCCCTGGTGGGAACTCTCACTTCTCAGCGCAATAAAGCGATGAAACCTGACATGAAAGTTGTTTAAATATGATTCAATTTTCTTCGAAGAAACTGGACATAGATAAGGATACTGGTAGTTTTGGCTTTTAATGCCTGTGAATTAAAATATACCTATGGGATGGAGCTCAGGGATGGATGCTGGCCATGCAAATGAGCCAGCTTGTATTTGATTCACCTGATCTCTTCCTCCCTGAGAGTCAAGGAAAGGCTAAATGATACCACAGGTGTGAGAACACATCTTTTCCAAACTGTCCCAGGTTTCTGCCACGTGAGCATTCATCTTTGGGAGGGAAGGAAAGAAAAACAAAAAAGGGTTGTTGGGTGGGGAGACTTATTAATACAGTCATTAATACAGAGACTGTTTATCAGAGTTCCTGGGACTTATTCCTATCTTCCCACTAGAAGACCAGGAGTGTAGTTACCCCAGGGTTTTGGAGGCAGAATCAAGCTCTGACCAGATTCTCCCAAGTTATTTTTCCAGAGGCAGAAATACAATTGATACAAATTGTGATCAGTTTTTCCAGTAACATGCAGTACACATTTTTGCTAACCAAAGAACACATTTTTTTATCCCTGTCCTACAGAAGTCTATGAGGTTCCTGAAGAAGAGGTAAGGCTTTTCTGTAGTTTGACTTGCATTGCCCTCGGACATGGCACAAATGTGATTGTAGAAAAAGATGATCAGCCTTTCAAAGGGGAAAAATAGGAACAAATCTCTGCATTTAAAACTTCCTAACACTTCCTTCACAGAAAATCTGGCAAACCAATACAAAAGGTCTGCAGAACAGAATAAATGGGAAGGAGCTGAAGTTTTCCTGTCCTATGTGACAGTGATCTGGTCTGGGAAGCAGCAGCCTAAGGGAATGCGTTCTAGAAGCAGAACTGAAGCAAAGGAGCAATGACAGTACCGACACAGTGATTTTCTTCCCTCTTGCTGGTACTGACATGACATATGGCTAAAGCAGTGTGCTCAGGGCTTCACAGATTTACTGGTGGTGACTCCTTGCCTCTCTAAGCCTAGTGCAGATTACCAGGCAAGATTTCTACTAGAAATCTGTACCACAACACAAAAATAAGATATTGCTGTCATAAGACTAATACCATCATACAAGTGTATTTTAAGAAATCAGAACAGGACCAAGTAATTCCATGCTTTTTCTCTTACAGGAAAAACCATCACCACCACCACCAGTAACCAGGTAACTCATTGCTACGAATGGTTGTGCATTATTTAAAACTTGTATTTTCTCATCTAGATACTGTATGTTTGATAATTCTCTGAAAGATATGGTAATTCTCTACTTACATTATCTACACAAAATCTGTCATCCATGTCTATGTTAATTTCAATAACCCAAACATAATACATATTAAAAAGAAATACCTCCTAAGTGTACCTTGAGTGGTTTTGAAGGAGTAGGAGAGAAGAAAGGTTGCCTCTGTATTCTGTATTTAATTGTTGTTAAATATAATTTTCTTAATTCACGGTTTATTACTAGGTTCACTAAGCCACTTCCATCTATGCCTGCTCAGAATACAGAGCACTCCCACGTGCACAGCATGACCAGAGAATCACCTAAGTTGGATACTTCCAGGTGAGCCAACAGCAGTATTTCCCTCGGAAATACTAGCAGAGACAAAATTTTCTCCTCTCTATTGCATAGCCTTCAGATAATAAGCAATTGTCAGGACACACAAATAGTTAGGGATGTTGGGGCAAGGTAAGAATTGAAAGTTCTTATTTCCTTGTGAACTTCCGTATTCAAGCCAGTTTGCCAAACGTGTACTATTTTCTTGAATATCCCTCACGGGATCCAGTGCAGGGGTAAAACATCTCTGCAAGCCAGTTTCAAGTCCTATTACCCATCTCTGCACCCTTGCAAATTAGATGGGTTTTTTTACAGGGGATGGGGCACAGGATTACTTATAAAGAAACTGGACACAGTAAATCCATTATTTATATTCCGAGTTTCTGGAGGGGAAAAAAGGCAAAGGAAACTTGAGTATGCAGCCTATTTCACCTGTGTCCCTAAAATTATAGGACGTTGCTTCATGACCACTGTCTCATCTCTATGACACTGCTCTACAAAATAGGCCATATGCCCCAGGAAGAGCAGGTGGCATCCTCAAAACTGTGTGTTATGGTGTTTGGTGAAGTCCTGTGCACAGTTGCAGGAGACCGAAGGTCCAGAAGAGAAGCTCTTGTAGAGTAGTTCCACACTAAGGGCACAGCATCACCACAGCCACTGCAGCAGTGCATAGCTGCAATTAAATCCATTTACTGCAAACCTCCTCCTCTCTACATCTTGAAACACATACCTGAGCCAAGCAATTAAATAAGTAAACCCTACTCATCTTAACATATTGTGTATGTTTTCCAGAAATATCTTGCCTCTTCCCAGAAATCGTCTTCATCCAAAAGCAGTGAGTAATTAATGTGCCACTATAAAAGAACGTGCTAAACTTTAGGCTGTTGTGTGTTTTACATATATAATAGATGGATGCTTTTTACTATTTGGATTAAATAACAGAAACAGATGACAATGTCAGACTGATCAAATATTGTATATGTGGCTATTAATCTTTTGGACAAAAGAGGTACATTGGACATCTGTATTGATTCAAGCAAAACTTTAAATGTTTTAAGGGGCAAATGTCTCAGTCTGCAAAAATAATTTCTTGTACTAAAAAATACCAGGACTCCAGGAACCTTACTTTCAGTAGCAATGGGCGATACTGCCCAATCTGAAGCACCTTCCTGGAGCCTCATTCCTCTCAGATGATTTAATCGTTAATACTTTCTGAAAACATAATCCTTTTAAAAGGTCACTCAGTAGTCTGAGTAACCAGTATCACTAGAAAATGCAGTCCATGAAGTAGAAATTACAAGCTTTGGGTTCCAAAGTCTGTGTTTTAAGCCATTCCTCTTCTTCCATTACTCTTGTCCCTGGTCTGTCCCTTCCACTGTGGTGGAACAAAGGTTTTCTGAAGCAAATTACTTTGGAAGCTTGTCTAACTGCAGCAAATGGGCAAAAGCAAATGCATAAAAGGTCAGCAAGAGGTTCAGCCAGATGAGTTCCATAAATTGTTCTGCACCATAGGTCTACTAACAGTTGTACCAGCACAAGTGAGAGTGTGCATGAGGAGCAAATCATTGAGAAAGTGACAGTAACCACATCAGCATCTGTGATTAAAAGCTATGTGCATTAAACTGTCCCAGCCCAATGCTCTGAATTGTCTTTAAGAAATAATCAGCCTACCAATTACTACATAGAGAAATTAGATGCTTAAATTGCAAAAAAACTCAATAAATGAAACATCTGTTAACTGCTCCCATTCAATCCATTCTCAACACTTACCACCACTGATCATGTTAACAGAACTGTAACCCTTGTTCCTCTCAAAGGCCTGGGCTGACTCAGAGAAAGATTTCTCCATATCTCACTCCCTCATTGTTGGATGATATATTACACCTCTCCAACCAGAGAATGAATGCATTTGTGACCAACATTAGTGAAACACCATTAACTTGGTGGATGAAGATGGACAAATTAATAACTGGTGCCTCTTTGAAAGGTAGTTCTCGTATGGGAGTTTGTTTCCCTAAAAGACGGGAAGTGAGAGTCAAAAGAAAGCATCTCCAAAAGAAGACAAGGAAATAAGTTGGATCACTTCAAGTCTAGTGTGGTGAAAAGACAATCTCCTCAGTATCCTCTGTTCAGTGGAAGATGTGTTCTTGGTATAATCAAATCTGCAGCAAAATTTCTGCTTTCTAGCTCAGAAATGAAACCTGAACCATGAACCTGAACCTTGTGCTGGCAGCCCAGAAAGCCAACCATATCCTGGGCTGTATCAGAAATGTGGCCAGCAGGTTGAGGGAGGGGACTCTCCCCCTCTACTCTGATCTCCTGAGACCCGACCTGGAGTTCTGCATCCAGCTGTGGAACCCACAACATCGGAAGGATATAGACTGGTTGGAGCGAGTCCAGAGGAAGCCAGGAAGATGATCGGAGGGCTGGAGCCCCTCTGCCATGGGGTCAGGCTGAGAGAACTGGGCTTGTTCAGCCTGGAGAAGAGGAGGCTCAGAGGAGACCGGGCCTACAAGGAAGCTGGGATGGGACCTTTTACAAAAGTCTGTAGTGACAGGACAAGGGGTAACAGGTTTAAATTGAAAGCAGGGAGGTTTAGATTAGATATCAGGAAGAAGTTCTTCACAGAGAGGGTGGTGAGGCACTGGAACAGGTTGCCCAGAGAAGCTGTGGGTGCCCCATCCCTGGATGTCTTCAAGGCCAGGCTGGATGAGGCTTTGAGCAACCTGGTCTAGAGGAACGTGGCCCTGCCCATGGCAGGGAGGGTGGAACTATATGACCTTTAAGGTCCCTTCCAACCCAAACCATTCTGTGATTTTTATGAACCAGAAGGTCTCACTACAAAATTCAGGGCTAATTTTCTCAATGCTACAGGCAATCTCAAGGTTATTAGAATGGATAAAATTAGATTGATGTTTGCTAAAACTTTTCAAACACTGTCGTAACAGCTGATGAAAGTATTCCATATTGTATATATTGTGTAAAAATACTTCTTTAAAAATTACTACAGATTACCAAACCCAGATTATTTATTTATTTATGCACTTCACATTTAATAATAATTCCTTTTTTAACTGTTTCTTATCAAATCTGATGTGTCTTTCCATTACAGGACCATGAAGCAAACAATAATGATGAAAGTGAGTATTGTGTACTGAAAACATGGCAATATGAGAGGGATTAGTTGTCAGTGTGTCACTGGTGACCTTAATATAGCATGTAGTAGGTTGTGTCAGTGTAAATTTTATCTGTAGAAGTCAGCAATAAGCGAGAAATGTTACCAAATTGTTTCCTAGTATAATCAGAGTGAAAACATGTTAAGACAAAAATTATCCAATGGATGTTTTTTACTTGTATTACCTTTAATACTGAAATGGCAGTGAGTGAAAGCCACTGTTCAGATACAGCTAATATCTTATACTAAGTATGTCATTTGCTTCTCTAGATCACAGCTTCAATAACACGCAGAAATCCAGATTTCCCACTGGAGCAGCTCCATCTCCATTACCAAGGGGCCTGTGAGTAAAAAATAAAAAAACAACTTCTCTGATGGTGATGGGGTTAATAGGTCTATTAGGTGCTAACTCCTATCCTCGTGTATGGCAATCAGAATTTGGGAGTAATTTTTATTGCTGTTCATGAAAGATACCTTCACTAGGTAAAGGCAAGGTATTATTTTGTTATTTCTGGAGGAATACTGTTCATATGTCAGTGGCATTACCCTTCACTGCCTGCCACTGATGGCAGATGCTGCTTAATTTAGTCATATACTGCAGCAACAGCACATGCATGCCTGTAAATGCAGAAAGTTGTTGTTTTATTAGAACTCTTCTGCCCTACCCAAGCTGTATTGCACAGTGCAGCTTCCTTCCATATCATAATTATCTTTCTTGAAAACACGTTACATCTGATACCCTTGTTCTTTTTTTATTCTTTCTTCCCACCCCCCAACTGCTACAGCTATCCAATAAGTAGATGCATCGCATCTTGGCCAGAAATATCCTAGGAATCAATGAACCTGATGCTTAGTTGCTAAATGAATTCATAAGTCTGCTAAGTAATCATAGTATTTTTTTCTTTTTCCTCCAATCTGAAGAAAGAAAACTTCTAATGCTGTAAATTCACCAGTAAGTTGACTTGTAATTGCATAATCAAACTATTTTACAGGTGATTAATTTATTATGAAACTTAATTTTATCATGAGTCTGTGTACAACATAAATGCATAAGAAGAACAGGGGAAAGAGGGAGTTATAAAGAAAATAAGTACTTGAGTACTGTTACATGAACTAAGCAGCAGTGAGAAAGCTCAAGCAGAAAAACATTTTGATTAAAGGGATGTTGGGATTCAATACTCTAGGATGTGACAACTAACACAGTGCAAGAAATTAGTAAAATGAGAAATAAATGGAAACACAGTCCATTCAGAAGTATTCCCTTAAATATGCAGAGCTGCACATGGAGAACATGGATATTGTGAGAGCGACAGATCAAGAAAGATGCGGGATTTTAGCAGAATTTGTCAGGGGGTTTTCAAGTTGTGTTTCATCATTAGAAAAATATCCCTAACCTTTTGCATGAGAAAGTAAGAGAACTGGTTGAAACTTTCAAAGAAATTCATGTAAAGATTGTTTTGAAACTGACAGCTTATTGTTTCAAAATGAAAACCAAAAAAGTGAAACTAGAAGATTGGGCAAGTTTTTCCTGTGAGCTAAACTGACAATTTAACTTTCAGGAGAAAGAAATGCATTCAGACATTTGTGAGCATAGTTTGACAAAGATGAAAATACTCAAATTTTGGTTCTCAGGTGTTTGGGATGGGCTTTTCATTTTTGGACTTGAGATGAGAATGAACCATTTGTTACAGCGTAAACCTACTGATGGGAGGTTAAAAAAAAAAAAAAGGCACAGATCCCTAGATTTTACTTTTGTCCATCTATTTAGACACAGAAACTGGGACTCTTTCCAAATCTACTTTGCAAAATCCCAAGCTTCAAGGTCATACAACTAGAGGCTCTTCATAGAATGGCCGTGTCCCTGCCTCCTAATCCCTACAGGATGCTGTCAATTCTAAAAGTAAACTAGTTCACAAAAAAACAGGAAAAGATGAACATTTGCTGTACAAGTGACGTGCTGTTTAATATTTGGTTTCCGTTTTATTTCAGAAACCATGTTTACCTTCCAGAGAGACCTTAACTGCAAATGAAGGTAAACTATCTCCACTATTGTGAGAAAGGTGATGTGTATCAGAATTTAATTTTCTTTTTGTTAAAAACATGAAACAAACATGACCACATTCAATTTACTCTAGATTTTTGAGACTGGTGGTTTTAGCAGTTTTCACCTGGATCTGGCCAGCCTTAGTTAAACTGAGTATCATTGTTCTCTAAAAGCAGACACAGTAAAACTATTGAGGTTATGGGCAGGGTAACGTACAACATAGCAGACCAGCAACATGCCATATGGCCCTCAGTGTGGGGAAGGGGGAAAGGAGGCAAAGTGCAAGTGCATCATTCTGAACTTGGCAAGAACCACCTTACATGGAGCTGACTCCTGGCAAGAGCCAGTCCCTCGCACAGGTAGAAAATGCATCTCACCGCTGTGCGAGGCAGCAGCTCCTCCAGGCAAAAACCCAGCGGAGGCTGTTGTCTACCACACAGGTTGGATGCAGCCAGCCAGCTGCACCTCCTCTGGCTGAGCACTCGCAAGCAGCTCGCCCCACAACCTCCCCGAGTCACACAACTTGCCACTGGAAGGCAAGTCTCCCGCTGAGCTCCTGCAGGCGCTCACAGCGCAGCCGTTTGCCCAGAAATGTGGTGCTGTGCTGCTAGTCAGTAAAGCAAGCAGCGGGATGGCAAGCTGCCGTGTAAGGAAACCCCCCAGAAGTTATGACAATAAAAGAAACCCTCCTTCAACTGCTAGGACTCTCTTATCTGGGACAGTGTGTTTTTAAAGAAATCTTGACTCTAGAATTTGTTTTCCCAAACTACAGAAAAACCTGCAGCACCAGAACGACGGCGAGGTTCCAGCCAAGAGTTTGTGCTTCCACCCCTTCCAAGTGGTTCCCAAAAGTAAAATCCTTTTTCATCATCTTTTGATATTTCAATACACCAGTTCCTACTGCTTGGTCTGAGCACAGCTGGGAGAAGTTCAAAGGGCAGCACTGTTTTCTCGGTAGTGGTCTTTTACCTTCTGAAAATCATGTTTCTTGAAGCCCCACAATACCAAAAAATAAAACATGGCAAATGCACCCAAATACTATAACCACCACCACAAAGCATAAGAGGATATAATCCCTCATTAGGTGATAGAGATTTAAACCAGATGTTTAAATTCCTAATTGCCAGTACTCGTGGGATATGATTTTTTTTTTAAATACCTATGTCTGGCCCTTATTTCTCAATGGACAAATGGGTAAGATGGATCACATTCTACCGCTCCATGCTTCAGATACACAATTTTAATATTTTCAGAATTGGGTAGATGATCTCAGACCTTTCTGTAATCTCTATGTTTATTTCAGGCCTTTACTCCAAAAGTCCTCAATTCTGCCAAGTAAGTATAATACACATTTTGAATTAAAATGCGTTTAACTTGCAATTTCAAATTAAAATTTGAATTATTTCAAGATGCCATGCATATTCATTAGTTTGGAATCAATATTTGTGTATAATGCATACAAAGAGGAGATCAAGTATCCAGGGGCTTAGCTCTGCTAGTAAAATTAAGGGAGTATGTAAGGATTATTGTATAAATCAATGGAAATTGGGTGCTTTATTCCCATCTGACTACTGAAAATTTCTAACAAAGGCAGTTAGGGTCAGTTCCCATCATAATAAAGATTCTATCTTTGCCACAGAAGAACCCTAAATATGACAACTCTGGGTTGTTCCAGGCTTCTGTTGCCTAGAAGCCAGACAAATTATTATTGCATCCAGCAAGTTACTCTTTCTTTCCGGGGGGGAGGGGTTGAAAGAAGGTATCTTTATAACAGCAAAGCTAAAGCTCTTCTGTAATACTTTGAAAGAGGGATTTCATTTCCATTAACAGCTCAAAACAAATTAGGTAATAAGCCCTCAATATCAGAAGGATATTGACCACTTGGAGCGAGTCCAGAGGAGGCCACGAAGATGCTCAGAGGGCTGGAGCACCTCTGCTATGATGAAAGGCTGCAAGAATTGGGCTTTTTCAGCCTTGAGAAGAGGAGGCTCCGAGGAGACCTCATTGCAGCTTTCCAGTATCTGAAGGGGGCCTACAAGGGTGCGCCTGTAGTGACAGGACAAGGGGTAACGGGTACAAATTGAAATCAGGGCGGTTTAGATTAGGTATCAGGAAGAAATACTTCACAGAGCGGGTGGTGAGGCACTGGAACAGGTTGCCCAGAGAAGCTGTGGATGCCCCATCCCTGGATGTCTTCAAGGCCAGGCTGGATGTGTCTTTGAGCAACCTGGTCTAGCGGAAGGTGTCCCTGCCCATGGCAGGGGGGTTGGAACTAGATGATCTTTAAGGTCCCTTCCAACCCAAACCATTCTATGATTCTTTGCACAGAAGCGTAAACTAGAGCTAACATTTTTCTAGTCTCTTGTTAGTAGACATTTGTCTGACCTTCTCACAAGCCCTTTTTTGCATATATTTGAGTCTGAACACATCTTGCACTGTAAATGGACGATGAGAATTGCACACAGAAATCTGCATGTAATGCAGTTTAAGCTTAAGTGCTGTTGTTAGTACTTTCGTCTATTTCCTGGAAATGTTTGCTTGATGTATGTGGCAATTACATCTCCTATGCTGTGAAAGTATAGTAATGGTTCATATTCATTTTAATAGGCTGATGCTCTCAAGTTTGCCTGCTCCTGTCACACAGCTGATGTGCTTCAACTTGTAGCATAAATTCTTACTAATCCCTCAAGTGTAACTATTCTTTGAGGTCATCTAGTGCTAAATGATGCTCTGATTAGTAAACTTTCTTTAACACACTCTTATTCTGTGCCAGGTCCAATAACAACCTAATCACAGATACAGTTGGTCCCAATCACTAATGTCCCTTCAGCATAACCTGCCATCTCTTCCTTGTCACCATACAAGCCTAGTACTAACTCTTCTTCTCAAAAAGTACTAATTTCCTGTATGGCACAATATCAAATGCTCTACTGAAGTCCACAGTAAGTACAGTACCATATTCCCTCTCTGTAGAATTCTGTAGTTTTATGAAAGCGCTATAACATTTTATCTACTTGGGTAAACTTCAGATTTTCTCTTGCTAGCTGTGCCTTTATCTCCAAATCATAAGGTTCTTTCCTTCAAATTCTCTTCTAGGGCCTCTTATTCTGTGGAGTCAGACAAAAAGGCCTGCAGTTGCTCAGGTCACTTCTTCAAGTATAGCAATTATGTTTGGTGTTCTTTAATCATACAGTACTACCCTGACTTGAAATTTATTTAAACTAATTGTTACCAGCACTGTAATTTTATGAAGCAGTTCTTGAAATTCCTGGGATAAAGATTATCTGGTCCCACCAATTCAACTGTACCAAGATCTTTGAGTTTTGCTTCCACTTTGGTTGTGGAAATTTCCATTTCTGTACGAGAACTACAATCACTCTAGTACCTTTCCTTTTTACACAGCTAAAGAACCTCTTACTACTTACTCTAATTTTCTTTTGTAAATTCCAATTCACCGACTTCTAGCAACTCTTACTTCATTCATACCAACTTTCAGCTGTAGCTTTGGCAGCTGGTCAGTCAAAATTTGACATAAAACCCCCAAAATTCTTAAATTCAATAGCTTTCCTCAAGTGTTTGATCATTTACTGAGAGCTGGAACTGCTCATCCATGTCTCCCCTCTACTTGGAATGCAGCTTTGAAACAGCTATATCTTTACCACAAAATAAGTTCTAAACCTACTTTATGCAGGTGTCTTTGAGCTCTCCAGTCCAACTGAATTTTTTGACTGAGTCACTGTATGACTGCCTCTATAGCAATCTTATCACTTTATGAAACCACAATCTAAATCAGAATTATATTAGAAAAGATTTGATAATGCAGTCTGTAAAGTATCATGCCCAGGAATAGGTGAGTGCTAACAATCCTAGAAGCATTTTTACCCCAATAAATACAAGCATCAGGAAATAAAACCTCCGTAATAACAGAGTAACACTCAACTTTATACAATTGTGTTCTCTATTATTATATTGATTGTACCCAATTCTGATCCCAAGCACCTACAGCAGACACCTATACTATCTCTAACAGGATTCTGTTTTACCAGAAAACAATTATCTGTACTTATTTATCATATTATTATGCAACACTACTCAACCATTTCCCTTCTAACTTCTTAAACTGGCATGTATTTCAGCTCTAATAACTATTTTCTGTTATACTTTCTTATTACAATTATAATTCATAATCTTTTCTACTAGTTCTGCTTCTGTATTTAGCTGTCTAAACTCCTTGCACTCATAGAAAAACACTTCAGTTGGAATAAATTAGCAAAAGATTATCTCTGAGCTGCATTTGTTTTTGTGACTCCCTCATCTATATGATTACTTCTCACACTGGACGGAGTGCTTTTTGTGTTCCTGCATTGCTTTTTTCTATTGGTACACTGATTCACCTAGGTGGTGGTGGGTGGGTTTTTTTGCATTTTAAGTCTAGCTCTGGCTGTTAACCAAGTTGTTAACCAAACTGTTTCTCATAAGCAAGTTTCCTGAGTGATACCAAAGGTCAAGTGTTTCCAGATCTTCCAAAGTCCTTGTAACAAATCAATTTCTTACAGCATAACAAACATACTTTGAAAACTTAGGCATGTTGTTCTCTTTTCTAGAAGTGCCAGAAGCTGCAAACCAATCTCTGGGTACTTCCCCTCGCAGCAGCATTTTATCTACTTCAAGTTCTGCAGACCAGGTATAACATTAGCTAAATTCATGTTAGAGAAATCTTTGTATCCTTTACTTTAAAGTAGTATTTCCATCCCTCTCCCCTTTCTAAATAAAAATCATACTACTCCTGTGGAGGGCATCCATGTCCCTTTTTGAAGTAAGGATTTTCTTTAGCACAAATGATCTGAATGTTAGCTTTCATACAAAAAATACTCGGAGCACAGGAGAGCTTTAACATACTGGAAAAATACATAAAATAGCATTATACCAACTTTGGCACTCCACCAGTCAGTTAAAACAAAACCCAAACAAGCTTCTTAGTTTCAGGTGTTGCTGACTCCCAAGCTCATACTACCTCAACATCATTTGAAACAATGAAATCTCTGGTGAGGTACTTTAGTCTTTGATATAGATGGCTATAGAGTTACTAATTGCTATTTTTCCCTAACTTTATAGCTGTATATACCATCCTGAAAAAAAACCCAAATGTGCAGCAAGCAGATACAATGAAGCCATCTGCAGCTTATTAGCATTAGCCTGCACTGATGAGGTGGGCTAAAATCCCAGAAATCTGTAAGAGGAAAGGGGGATGCTGTACTGACTGGCCCAACACAGCAAGATGCAGAGGGTAGAATCACTTCTATGAACACTGCCCTGTGTATTGCGGTTTGTGGTATCAGCAGAGAAGAAAGTCACTGCTGGCCCTTTGGGAGGATCCTGCAATACCTCCCCCTACACGTGTTAGTCCCTCCCAAGTCTTACTCCTTTCTGTTCCTTTAAACAAACCTCTTCTCATTACAATTAATGCTGTCAGTTTTATGACCAACTCTTTTTTTTTTTTTCTGTGTCGCATTGCGACAGTAAGCTTTGAATAATCTAAGTAAAGGAAAAGTTATTTTCATTTTGTTGCTATTGCCCTTACTCTCACTTTGGATGGAGACTACAAAATGCAGGAAGCCATTCTTACTAGCCTAGCAGTCACAAGCAAGGTAAAAATAGTTCTGTTGAGTGCAAAACAAAGGCTCTGTTGTGCAGAGCCAATAACTTTAAAAGTTCTAAAGCCTGACATGACGAAGATAATACAACAGAGAACAGCACAAAGGACTCGAAGTTCTGCAAAAATTTTAACAGTATGTCATACTGGATATTATTTTTTAAAAAATTGCTTTCAAATAAATAATCTAGCAGACATGAAATAAACAGCTTGTAGCAATTGTATTTGCACCTTTCATACAACAGCCATGGGCAAAACCAGAGCTTAATAAAATATCCAATTCAAAAAAAAAAAGTCAGCTAGTGTTATTTTCCCACCAGTTACGTACAGTGGTATAACTTACTGTAGCATCCTGCACAACACAGGTGCTTGCAGACATGAGTCACGCCCATAAGGTTCATTATTTGTTTGGTTCCCACCCAGACTTTGGCAGCAGCTCTCTGCTTTTGGATGATAGGTCACAGATACTGCTCGAAGAAAGGCCCTGGGGCAGTTCCTTGTTCTGTTGAACAAAGACTGATTTACTAGACACATTCTCTGAGTGGCTGAGTATCTTGCATACTTGCAATTCCCCTCACCCCATCTTTATCCAATGAATAGTGTCACTTCAGAAATACATCCAAGAACTTTGGAGGTAAAGTAATATGTTATGGTTTGAGCAAATCTAAGAACCTGCTAGTTAATCTAGCTACTGAAGTCTGGTAATTCATAGCTCTTGTGTTGCTTCTAATCCCTCATCCTGTCCTTCCCTTGGGCATCATTTCTTTTCATACTTAAAATCCCCCATACCTTTCCCCTAAACTCCACTCCTGCTCCCAAATGTACATTTAAGTCTACATCACTTTACTACCCAGTTTTCTACCACTTTTTACTCAAATTATAGTCTCGTACTACTCCCAACTGCCATAACCTCCCCACGTTTTTATCTTTGCACTTCCTTTGCTACGAAAGCTTTTATCTTCTAAAGCAGAACCTGCCTGTCTTTAGGGTGCCAGTCATTCTACCTTTGTATCCTCAGGTCTGCACCTATGCCCCCATCCATGAAGACCTTTGTTTTTCACTGGCGGAACAGGTTAAGTTCACTTACTACACAGAACACTGCCAAGCATTTAACAGAATGGAGAGGATGATGTTAGTGAGGCGTTTGCAGTGGTTAGCATACAGAAATGAGGCACCCAAGAGATACGTTGTAAAACATAATCCACTCTTGTATTCTGCCACAGATGTAATCCTGCTCCAAAGAAAGCCTGGTTTTATGCCTTTTAGATAAGAGCACTGCTTCAAATATAAGGGTATATTCAGACTCAGTCCAACAGAGAACCAGAACTGAATCTGTATCTTGTGTCTGAGGTGAAAGCACTGGGGGCTGAACTGCTGTATTAGTAAAGGAAAGATATTCATTATTCCTCTGTTTTGCAGGACTCCATCAATTTGTCCTTATTTAATAACAACAAATAGGGCAAAAAATGCACTTATCCAACATCCATGCTCTCCAGATAGAGGCAACTGTGATCATGTTCACAAACAACATCAAGTATTTGGGAAACTTCATTCCCAAACCTTTGATGCCTACCAAATCTGGACATTTCATTAGCTAGTCCACAGGTGAGCGGCATTTAAACTGTTAGCAGACAATTTATGCGTCAACATTTCCTGGATACCCTCTTTAAACTCAACTAGAATAGCTTCCTGCTTTAAAAACACCAAACTATCCTCCAGTTGAACTTAACTGCTTTCTTCAAGGTATCCTTCTCTCGTCATATCAGCCTTCTATCACATATCCGTTATCAGAGTTTTGACACATCAGTTCTTATTTGTCCTACCGCTATCCAACAAAAACAGTGAGCTCCTGGCAAAGAATTTTCTAAATTCTGTGTTCTAAAGCATTCTGCATGAGTTGTTCTCAGTTGTGATTATGTAGTAGTAACCCCCCTACAGGCCATATTTCTTTATCATCATCATCATTAGTATTTTACATGTGAAAGACTGTTTCTCTTTCCAGGATGCTGGTGTTCATAGTAAAGCATGGTATGCTGCTGTCTGTGATAGGAAAACAGCAGAAGATGCATTGTACCGATCAAACAAGGTAGGTCACTTTTAAAGAATGTCTATCTTACAAAAACTTCATATAAAAAAAAATCAAAATATAACCAGAAATATTCTAAGAATATCAGTTGGATTCTGAACAGGTCAGAATACTGTGCAATGCAAATACTGTCAAACGTGAAATTACTGTGGTAAAACTAGCTATGGTTTCCATGCCAATACAGAGTTGCATTAGTGTAACTCAAAGCCTGGCGCAGTGTAGAGAAAGCTGTTGCAGATGAGAGGTGAGGAAGATGTGGTATCTCGCATGCATCCACTAAAATGGAAGGCAAAGCCCTGTGACTTAGTGATCTCCACCACTGTCCAATGGCTCATGGAAAAACAGCTGCTGTTTGGAAAGGCTGATGCTGCTTATGCACTTTGAAATAGCAACGCTAGGCATTTAGGTGTTTGGAGACAGAGTTCTCTCAACTACTCTTCGTACAAAAGCTAGAATCACAGAAGGGATAGTAACGTAGAGTTGCATCCTCAGCATCAGGTACGTTTCCACTCTTGCAGAGCACTGGAGTTTACCACCACTGTAGGCTACCGCTGCCTAGTGAGCACTGGGTTACAGTGTCGGTAGCTCTACGTGCTGGTCTTTTATCAGAGGGCTTCCCACAGCCCTGCAGAAACAGGATCTCCGCCTCTCACTGCCTTCTCGCCTACCTATTGCCACTGACACTAACTGCATTTCCTAATAATCTGTGGACCCCAACAGACTGTGTGAAGCACACACCATGTGCTTATTTCTTCTTTTTCTGGTCAAGAGAGAACAGGCAGCAGCAAAGGTGACTCTTATATGGCACCTTTGTAAGTTAGTGTTGGACAGCAGGAACACGTTACTTCCCATCTCCTGCTGTAGTTTTTCTAATGGGAGAAGAGGGTTTAATTCTAATAAGGATTATATTAAGCTAAAACCAAACTAAGTTGTTGGAAAAAGTAAGCTCAATACACTTACTACTTTTCTCTCTTTAGGATGGATCTTTTCTAGTAAGAAAGAGTTCTGGACAGGATTCACGACAACCGTACACACTGGTGGTGTTTTACAATAGAAGAGTATACAACATTCCCATACGATTCATTGAATCCACAAGGCAATATGCACTGGGCAGAGAAAAAAATGGTGAAGAGGTGAGATGGGGCAGCGGGAGGAGAGATTAAGATATATTGCACTAACTCTAACAGGATTCTTCATGTATCAAGATAAGTGTATCGAATACAATGACTGATCTATCAAGCTGGAGAAACCAGTGTAACATCAGCTCCTGTATACTGTAATTAAAACCACAGATCAAGTTTAAAACATAACTTTTTGAAACAGTTCTGTGAGTATCAGGATCAGAGCTGTAGCTGCTAGATAAATTCTCCAGCTGTTTATAGTCCCCTATTCACCTTATACACAAGACTGAGTTTCTTAGAAAATGGCAAAGGAAAAACAGCCACAAAAATAAAAAGAAGAGTGACAATACATAAAGAAAACACTAAACTCTTATTCTAGGGTGCAAATATCACTGGTTGGCTATTATACAACACAGACAATTACTCTGACAGCAAAACAGAAACTTGGAATCCAAATACCAAAAAAACTGTTATTGCTGCAGAGAGTAGTTTTTTCAGGGTTGTGAAAGTAGCCTTGCCTTAGCCTAATTATCTGCCTCCCAGGCAATGGTTTTGAGGTTACAGAATAAACAATAGCCTGGAACTCATCTGGCCCTCAACAAAGGGTCAAAAATTACCTCAGGGGAAAAACAGAACGATAGTCCAAAACCTGTATTTATTCAAAGACCAAAAGGAACAGTAACAGACCTAGCAGATTCTGGATGTTAATTTACAACCATTAAGACTGCATAACAGTTCCTATTAATGGCTGGCTGTGCCATATTACGCCTGGAGACAGCCTTACCTCCAACTGAGGTGGCTGAACCACAAGTAAAGCAGCTTCCAAACGGCTGCAGTCTACAGCCTGGTATGTATTAAACTGAAAGCAGCGTCCATTTCATATGGCATGTAACAACCTCTGTGGTTCAGTTTGTGCAGGTGGCCATTGCAAAGAGAGGAGCATGAGATGAGACAGCTAGTGGCCACAATATCTTCCATTGTCTAGATTTCATCTGTTTATGACTAATATCAGGATCAAGAGCAGTTATCAGTGCTTTTAGTAAAAGGCAGATCATCTCACTTGGTAACAGCCATAGCTCCACTCTCTTCAATGGTAAGAGAAGTTGATGCAGCGATTACTATCAATATTAGGGCATTAAAGGAAGCCAGTACTAATTTTTTTTTTCTCTATCCAGCGCTTTGACAGTGTTGCTGAAATAGTAGAGAATCATCAGCACACCTCCCTGGTTCTAATTGACAGCCAAAACAACACAAAAGACTCTACAAAACTGAAACACATTGTAAGAGTTTCTTAACTGAACCAAACTGCTAAAATGAAGACTTTCTTTAAACATTTCTTTCAACATCCCAAAACATGTGGATCAAGTATTTAAAGAAGAAAACCCAAAATTATGGAAAATACTCTTTAAGAGCACCTACTGAGTAGTATGTGATGCAGTTCTTGCTGAAAATGCAACATCATCTCTATGTCACTTATGAGAAAAGCATGTGTATTATACACAAGAAGCCAAAGCGGATACACTCTCATCTGATTTCCATCTGTGACAATCCAGCTATTTAATATCACGTGAAGAGCAACTGCACGCTACAGCCTGATCCTTTGACTGCTACTTAAAAACAGATTTCCCGTAGGACATTTTTACTTTAAAAATGAGAAACCTACAGTGATCTATTTCCATGTTAAGTTTACCACCGATCACGGTTTTCAGCAATTTCTTTGCACAGTGCACAGCCCCAGATGTTTGAGCAACTCCACCTAATGTTGTGTACAAGGTGAAAATAGGACTGTACTTCATGTGATTAGTAGCAATAAAGCTGTCGGAATGTTTTAGGTTAATGGACATGTGTTGTCCTTTTCCTCGTCTTTACTCTGTTTCATTAATATTGTTGTTTGTATTTTCAAATGTGCAAATAAAATTTAAAATACTAGAAGTCTGTGGTCTAGCAATTGCTTCCACACATTACTTGTTCTTAGCATCCTTCTGGCAAGAAAGCATCAGTCAACTATCATTGACATCTCAATGTATATACTTGTATGTGCTCCTTCACAAGTTCAGTTATCATGAAAACTCCCTTTTTACAGATTTAGCATAAAATTACGCTCAATAGCTTACAAATCTTTTTGTCTTCAAACTGCCTGCTGTTTGGTGACCCATGCGCACTGCTTCATTGCTAAACCAATTCTTGCAGAATTACTGTTTACAGACACAAAAAAAAACTACTTTTCTTTTTTCAAGTATGTTATATGACAGTGTATTATTGCGAACAAAATAATTTCCACAAAGGTTAAAGTGGTGAAAATTATATTGATGCATTTATGAAAAACTTTTAGCAAGTTGTTAATCAGTTTTAGAGGTGTTTGATTTCAGTGGACCTGAAAAAAATTCCATCTTAGAGGTATTTTCCAAAACTGACACTTTACACACACCATCTTTGTTCTTTTTCTTCCAGATTAGGCAGCGTCTCTAAAATTATCTGCAAGGCATTTAAGACTGAGCCAAGACTTGCATTCACAGCAAGGCACTCAGAGCTATGCTGCAGCCGTAGTCTGCAATAATTCCTTGTGGTTTTGATCAGTTACTTCTACAAGTAATGCACCTGTCTTCTAGAAAAAACTGCTTACTGATATGACAAAGGGGTTCAGTACATGGCTACCTACCTTGCTGTGTCTGTTTCTTCCCCCTGCAACACAACTACTTACCAAAGATGTGAGGCAAATGAGACACTGAAAAGTAAGAAACAATGTATAGAGACTGTACACAAGCCTGCCTATGACAGATTGTTCACAGTACTACATAAATGCTATGTTTAGTATATTGTTCAGTTGGTATTAATTAGTATTGTACCAATACTACATGTAGTACTAGTGTAATATCTGTAACATTGAGACTGCCAAGTCAAGACCTCAGTGTTAACAACTTACTAGTCTCTGCAAGTTTAAATGACTCCTCCTATATGTGCACTCCAGTATTTAGTTACATGAAACACCGCCTTAGCAGGTTATTATTTGAAGCAATACTCACAGTGCAAAATACTCCATGAAAAAGCAGCCACTATTTAACTTTGCATTCAGTTACGAGTCCTCGCTGTATGTGCTCATGTACTGCATGGTATTTGACCTTTGTTCTTAACAAAATTGTCTGTTTCTTGCTAGCCTTTACATTTTGCTCCTCACAAGTCTCTAGGTTCTTCAAACACTGCTTTCTGAGTTAGATGTGTAGTATCGCCATCATTCTAGAACTGGGGAAAAAAAAAAGGCATGAAAAGGTGAAACTCAAAAGGTACCTACAGACTTCCAGGTGAGACCATGAATCAGTTTTTAAGGTAATTTCCATGCTCAAAGCACTGCTGCTCCTGCCCCTCAGCTCCAAGTGCTCATCACTACATGTAACTTTGGGGCTGATCTACAAATAATAAATATGCTCTAGGTAAACACTAAACATCACTACAGCGGCACCTTATGGTTTTGACAACAAATGTGGGGATTTGATAGACAACACCACCTTCCACAAAATACTCTATTGATCCTGAGGTAAGAACATCCTAGGCACAAAATAAGGCTCCATGAGGATGGTGGGGGGGAACCACACCATCAAAACCAACAAAACTGACCACTACATGATCGCCTGTTTTACTGTACTCACAGTTTTATACAGGAAGAAAGGAAGCAGACAAGTTATTCTGCTTTCCATTCCACCACTTGATCTTTCATAACCTGGATAGACTGTGGGGTAGACATATGTTGAAACACAATTTTAGCTAGAGGAAGATTTAAACAAGGGAAAATAAGCTTTCATTTTGCAAGGATATAAAATAAATTGGGACTGAGAATGGAGCGTGCTTTGTTAGAAATCCTGATGCTACTGACTCAGCAGCCCATACAGAATCTAGGAAATGGTAACTTGGTGCAATCCTGTACCTGAAACTCCCTTAGAGCTAACTCTTACAGTGCCAAGCAGCTGCCACCAGTTAATGTTGTCAGGAGTTTCCACCAGGTAGGAGGTATGTTAAGTCTGACTTCTGACATTTCAACACACCTTTCCCCCAGTATTTCTTTGATACTGTTGGCTAATTTCTCATCCATATAGTTGTCATTAACTGAACAGCTTGGGGGGGAAGGGAAGACCTAAAACTAGCCCTAAAAAATTGGCTTTAAAATGAGGTCAAAACAGAACAAGTAAAATTATTTTACTCAGGGCGAAGTATTGTATTTACTAAGGTACAAAAAAGCTGAAGTGTTGTCTGCCTACCTGATACAGAGAGTTCAATGAGTACTGCAAATCACTGACAATGCTGTTCCATGAAAAGAGTAACAACTTGCCTTCTCAAAAATCCAAGTGTTCAGACATGCAAGTTACAAAACTACATTCCTTCTTCAATCTAAACCACCAGCAGCAGGCTGAGTTTCGTAGGAAGTGGTGTAAAAAAAAAGGTCTTGCATGACAACAGCTCTGGAACAAATATTGAACACAAGTTTCTTGCTAAAACATTGGAATTACTGAGGAAGACAAACCATGATTTACTGATGAAGACACATCTTGCAAAGAATATAAAATGGGCTGGATTTTAGGCCTCTTTAAGGCCACTTTACACAAATAGGCTAGGCCAACTACATGTTTACAAAACATTTTCTCAAAGGAAAAGCTCTTGTTGACCCCATGCTTGCAGCTATTTCTGTACGTCCCAAAACACAATAACCAAGTCAAGGTTTTCTTATCTTGCTCTGTGCATAATGTTACAAGTGATCTTAAAATGTTCTGGTTGCAGAATCAAGCACTCAAAATCAAGACACTCTTCAAATCTCAAAATCAAGACACTCTTCAAATCAGGTTACCTGTGCAACCTTAATTTGTTACATCAGATATATCCATTACAATACGAGCATTAAATATATGACCATTGACTATTTTTCCATATTGATTTATATATTTTCCCTAAGTTCACAATACTCCAGGGATAAAGAGTAGCTGTGTAATGACAGACTCTTGTTTGTAGGCTATTTGTAAGACACCTTTACCATTTACTGAAGATGCCAAGAAATGCGCAAACATTGCAGGAGTCAGACAGTACAAAGGAAGCCTGATACTGTTACAGCAGTTAACCATCTCACTGAAGAGCTGTATAATGTCACTACGCCTTCTACTGCACCATCCACTCTGACGCTGGTCAGATTGTTTGAGCCAAACTTCCTCCTGATGGTCATTAACTGTGATCTTAACTTTGTCAAAGTCTCCCTTGAGATTCTTTGAAATCTGATCCGCAGGAGTGCAAAACTCTTGGCACCTCTAACAAAGCATAATGGACAAGCTTGTACATAACAAAAAAAATTACATATTCAGAACCGTACATGAGCAATCTGCACTAAGTAACACAAGAACATAATTGAAAGTATTAAGTCACTGCCCAAGAGGGAGCAACAGTTCTCTGCACTGACTGAGATGGATGTCCATGGACAGTGACACCTTATTTCAACTTTTCCTAGCTTTACAATCTTCTTTTATCACAGTGTTGTTTAAGTTCACCCAATTCATATGAAAACAAGCTGAAGGGGAAAAAATTCCAAAGACAGCTGTCATTTTCACGATTCATCAATATAGAGAAAAACCCCTAACTCTACAGGAGAGCTTCCATTTCAATGCTAAGTGTTAACAAAAAATTGCCATCCTCAGTGAAGTTGCACCAAGTTGGTTCTAACAACAAACTTCCTAGATATTTCTGCCGAAGAAAGCAATGGCAACGTCCAGAAATCAGGGCTCCAAGTTCAAGGTTTATGGGAGAGCAAGCAGAAGCAGCCAATACACCCTTCCACTCAGAAAAGCTTAACACATTTTGCACCATTCATAATGCCTTTGTGGTTTTTTTTCTTAACCCAATTCCTCACTGCTACACTAGTGTTCTTCAAAGTTCCTAGCAAAATTCATGTCAGAGCTCAAGCCCATTGTGCAGAACAAAATTATTCAATTTTGATACAGAACACACACAAACTGTATGTTAGTTCACCCAACTTAGGCTGCCCTGACCGCGTCGGGTGCTTCCGCTGACCCCAATACATAACTCACCAGCTACAAGGCTAGTGTGCATCTTCCTGCTAACAGATACATCACAAAAAATCTAGCAACCGAAGTAAATTTTTTTTTATAATTTTCACTTTCACCTTATGGGAACAGTCACAAGGCCTGGGCTTGCATACAATCTAAAACCTCAGAGATTTAAATGTCTCAGTCCTCTCCAAGTCCAGTATTTAGTTTTGACAGTTTTTCCAGTACTCCCAAATACTTCAGGAGACTGACTTAGACACCTAAGATGTAATCTTCCAGTACTCGGGCAAAAGGTGCCATATGATACGGGCACTCTCACTGAAGACTGGATCTATCCTCCTCCCGAGTTCATTAAGAATCTGAAGGACAAAGCCTCTAAACATAATTACTGTGATACTAAGGA